TACCAATGGGTGACAGTGTTACACAAAATGGTGTGACTCGACAGGAACAACGGCGTTTTGTTGAGTTACACTATCACTCAAAGGGAAAAAAATGTGTCGTTGAGTAACAGTGTTACTAATCGGTAGTTTTTTTACCAATGGGTAACAGTGTCACACAAAATGGTGTGACTCAACGGGAACAAAGGTTCAATTCGAGATAGGCGGCTATGATCTGATAAATATTGATATCTTAGACATAAATTGGAAAGATTATTTGTAAATAAATCCGTTGAAGTTGAAGAATTTTTGAAATTGTAAAAGTGTACCTACTAAAATTGTTGAATATCGCAATCCCTCAATGGTTATTATCTCCATCTATCCATCAAACCATGTATCTTAATAGACAATCAACATGGATTTGTGAAAAATCGATCAACTTTAACTAATCTATTGGTTTATTTATCACATTTATTTCATAGCCTGGATCGTATCGAGCAGGTTGATGGTATTTACACTGATTACAGAAACTGGATACAGGATACTGTTACAGAAACTTGCTTATAACGGAATCAGAGGCGAGTTGTGGTATTAGTTTAAATCCTATATCACAAATCGATCTCATAAGGTTGTGTTGAATGGATACGAGTGAGACCTTGTGCCAATTACATCTAGGGTGCCTCAAGGCTCTATTTTAGGCCCTCTTTTATTCTTGCTTTGTATGCATTATAAGTTTTTTGGTGGCAGTTTATCGTATCAACAGATCCTACTCAAATATAATTGTATAAATTTGGAACATAGACATTTATTTCTGGTAATAATGTACTATATGATATATTCCGAAATCGCTATGATTGTATACCATTGCCAAATAAATTAAGATATAAAATTCCAACAAGAAATCACTGCCGTAGCATTTGTAACATCTAGGGTGCCTCAAGGCTCTATTTTAGGCCCTCTTTTATTCTTGCTTTGTATGCATTATAAGTTTTTTGGTGGCAGTTTATCGTATCAACAGATCCTACTCAAATATAATTGTATAAAGGGTTTAGCCGGATACGTATGACGAGTCGGCCCCCAAATGGGAATCGATATTGAAACTTATGTTTTAATATCGACTTGATGTTCAAACACGATTTATGTACTTTTCGCGACCGACTTCCGCTTTGACCTTGAGATAGAGAGCAAAATATCCGTATGCTTGACTATTACTGAATGTGATATATCTCTAAAGCTAATTAAGATAAAGAAGTGAAACTAACGCGAGGTGTTAGGTTACATTACAGAGTATATCACATATATTTTTTTATAATTTTTAGAATAAAAAATTACATTAAAAAAATAAAAAATAAAAAAATCATGTTTTTTTTCTGAGTTCTCTGTGACTTACAATCACGAAATTAATATATGTTATGCTCCTTTGTGTGCACTATTACTAAAGTGACCAGACGTCCCGTATTGAACGGGACTGTCCCTTTATTCGACCACCTATCCCGTTGTCCCCTTGGGACTTAAAATAGTCCCGTTTTCTAAAACCGCGCGAAAAATTGAAATATTGATGCGTGTTAGAAATCGAGAGTTATATAAATAGGAGAAATATAAATAGGACTAAAAATACAATATGTTGCACATAATAATGTTACTGTCATATAAATGGTACTTAAATGAAGCTGGTGATTGCTTCTTATTTTTCATACTTCATACTTCTAATATTCAAAAATGTTTTAAAAATTTTTGTGAATACAAAATAAAGAAGGTTAAAAAGTTCTATTTATTTTTATTGTTTACCTTCCCACTGGGGTATATGTATATTAGATTTATAGATTAGTAGTATGAGGTATATTATGTTTAGACGTCCCGTTTTGAGTTTGAAGAAAAATGGTCAGTTTAACTATTACCCATAAAAATTGCGTGAAAAAAAAGTTGGTGCAACACAACGAAAAAAAATTATATGTGATTCGCGCCTTGTAGTGTGAGTGTATAAAAAAACAAGTTCGAACTTGTTATCGAGCTGTTTACTGCATCGTTTGTTTAGCTAAAGTAGCAGTCATTTGTATTACACAAGAAGGCAGTTTGGGACTCAAATTCTGTCATAGGTATTTTGTATCAGCATTTTGAAATTATTAACTATCGAACCAAATCATTATTAAGTAATAATGTCGAGAAAGTGTAAAAATTGTAACAAGTACCTGTGTAAGCTCCTTTGTGTGATAGAGCACACAAAGGAGCATAACATATATTAATTTCGTGATTGTAAGTCACAGAGAACTCAGAAAAAAAAACATGTTTTTTTTATTTTTATTTTTTTAATGTAATTTTTTATTCTAAAAATTATAAAAAAATATATGTGATATACTCTGTAATGTAACCTAACACCTCGCGTTAGTTTCACTTCTTTATCTTAATTAGCTTCAGAGATATATCACATTCAGTAATAGTCAAGCATACGGATATTTTGCTCTCTATCTCAAGGTCAAAGCGGAAGTCGGTCGCGAAAAGTACATAAATCGTGTTTGAACATCAAGTCTATATTAAAACATAAGTTTCAATATCGATTCCCATTTGGGGGCCGACTCGTCATACGTATCCGGCTAAACCCTTTGGAACATAGACATTTATTTCTGGTAATAATGTACTATATGATATATTCCGAAATCGCTATGATTGTATACCATTGCCAAATAAATTAAGATAAAAAATTCCAACAAGAAATCACTGCCGTAGCATTTGTAAATTGTTTGCTGATGTTCGTTTTCTTTTTAATTATTCTTCATTGCGACGACAAGCAAAAGTAAGTTTAGAAAATATATATTGGAAGTTCTTCAGTAGTATATATATTTATAATAGCTAAGTGTAGTGGTAGATTCTATTTCAATCAACCAAATTGTTATAATAGTTATTAAAGTAATTAGTGGTAAACGGTGCTGGTGGTACAACTAGTATGTCATCATGTTTTGTATCGTATGCACTTATGTTATTGTGTCATTGTTTGTTTACCCAAATATCAAAATTACATATGTGGTCAATAATACACATTGAACATTGCGCTCCATCCAATGTCAACCAAATTGAATATAATGTTGTTACACGGTAGCCCTAGTAGCCGTCTCTTTTGCTGATGATTCCCAGTACTTCTTCAATAGATTGTATTTCCGTCCAGCTAATATTTTTCATCCTTCTCCAACACTACAAAAACCCTACGACTATTCTGGTTGCTTACATCATTTTTATTTGAAAATCAATAATATAATTACTACAGTTCTTATAAATATAACAGTTATCGAATAGATTTAAAAAAAACTGTTAAACAATGATACATACATACATGAACTAGTATTTAGAAAATTTTCTTGTCTCAAAAACATCGTAGTAAAATCCAAACTTCTCATCTAATTGATTTAGTGTTAAAGACATTTGCATTAAATATGCATTAAATTGAACGATAAGTATATTTATTTCGATAAAGATTCAATATCAGCTACACAAATAAACGCCTAAAGACGGTCAAAAAATTTTAGTAGATTTTTACGAAGTTTTGTAATGTTGTAAAAAAACTTGGCACATAGATATGTGCCATTGCGGACTTCTCATAGATAATTTAAAGCTTTCCAACTTTTCTTTAGAAAGCATTCGTATATCTTCTTGGTACCGTTTAGACATATTCGCCGTTGGAAGTACCATTATCCCTAGGGAACCTTTTAGTGGGATAAAATTTGTTCAGTAGTTTTTGAGGGAAGAAGAAACAAACATCCAAACCTACAAACTTCCTTCTTTATAATAAAGTAGATATATAAAGTAGGATTAAGAAAATAAGTATAATATAAAATGAAGATCTTGATGTTGTAGTGGTTAGTGCGCTCGGTCTGCGATACGGTTGTTAAGCAACTTCCGCAATGATAGGATGGGTTACCAAAATTTATTATTTCGAGCTCCTTCGTGCTTCGGAAGGCACGTTAAGCCCTTGTTGCCGGCTGCATCTGCATTGGTTACTAACGACTTAGCGTGATGCGTGACCTACCAATTGGCACTGAGCCCGCGTGTTGGGTCATAACTCGTGGGCCATTCATCCTATTGGATTTGATTCAATACCATCCATAGGGAAGGCCTGAGCTTCAGCAGTGGGGACACTAATAGACTGATGATGATGTATGATGTAATCTAGCTTTGTCATAATATTTTATCAAAGCCACATCGGGAATGCTCCAGTCGCAAGTGATGGATTGCAAAGTGTCGGGTGCACTTTACTGGGGTCTGCGAATAACGCAACTGTTTGGAACAGCGCCAGTACAATTTAAAAAAGTGTGCGGTGAGTGGCGCATGCGACCAGCGCCAGCGCTGCGTTTCATTTGTTATGTTCTTCTTATCGTCCTAAGTAAGTTTGTTTGCACACTTAACCGTTCAGTGGTCCCTGATGTTTTAGACAAACTAGGCACGTGCCTATGAGCGGTAAGGTCAAATAGGAATTAAACTTCTCCTTTAAACTTACTATTGTATCAGTAATTTGGCGCCTTACTAGTGTTTCATTTCTCGCAGCTGTATTTATAAAGACATCAAAAGCTGAAGAAAACGATACAAAATAATATATTTAAAAAAAAACAAATTTTCATTTTTGGTGATATTTAGTGGCCTTTTAATCCACCACCGCATCTAATGAAGGATAATTAATGGCTCTACTCTTATGTTTATGTCACAGCTAAGTGGTTAAATCAGGCGTCCAATTGGGCGGCTAGCCATTTGGTTGAATGGCGTCATTCAACTGCATGTATAGTTTTCTAGTTGAATCATTATGACATTTGGACCGTTCAACAAGACGACTGATTCAAAAGCCGCCAAAACGTTCATCTACTTTTATTATCTGTTGAAAAAATAATATCAAATATTAACGATCGATCGTCTTAAATATATATATACATCACTGTTTTTTGTTATTTTACTTTACAGACGCTCTATCTATATATAATATTGTAAATAATATAAAAATATTAGGAGCAGCAAACGGAGACAATGATTTAAAAACAAGATTTATGATTAACTCCGTGCTTCTGGGACTGTTAATTACAGCGTTGAGTGCAGAGATATATAATGCACAAGCAAAGATGAAGCAAATAATCTGGTGTTTGGATAGTCTACAGAAGGTAAAATCCCTGGTAAAATAGATACAACGCGTAGGTATCATATGATTTGCGTCCCGTCAGTTATGTGAAAATAGAGACTGTCAATTATTGTTAATGTTTTTTCCATGAAATATGCTTATATTCATATCTATACCTTTTTTTAAGAGTTTACTCTTAGCTACAGGTATGAATAGTCATATTTCATTAAAAGCAGTGACACTATTTACTACTTAATAGGGTTTTTGACACTTTAAAGAAAACTATTTTAAATCGTTGTTTGCTACATTATAAACATATTGCATAATATTTCATTGGAATCTTTTCTATTTTTGGTGAAAATAATTGTTAAAATTTAAATAGCCAAAGGCACGCGAAAAACGCTGCTCTATGTAATGGCGCTGATCGTGACGTCACAGGCCAGTAAATATGTCAAATCGATAAGTAACAACTGTCGTAAGAGTAAATTGAAATAATAATTTAGAAGAGAAATTGAAGTCGTAGTGCGTATTTTTTACGTTTTTTATTTTCCTCTGCTCTGGTTTTCTTTAAAAAATGAGCTATAAGTGGTGCGTAGTGCCACAATGTACTAATACTTTATAGAAGTATTAGTACATTGTGGCACTACGCACAACATAACAAAAAAGCTTCGACTCTTGAAGAAAATAGATTCATAATCACAATAGTATAGTAGCTATATAGAGTAGAGATGGGTGATAAAATTAGGTAAGGACTCGCTAAAAGTATTGAAACTTTTTTATTTCATATCGATACATTTGACAGTTTTCTTTTTGTTTTTTTTTTGTCATAAACATTTTACAACTCATTTATATTTGTTGACAGGGCTCGCACTTTACAGCCTGTCGACCTACAGATGAATGAGACATTAGTGCAATAAAGAATGTTCAATTTTTTTATACATACATGTAGTATGTCTGTCCACTAAATGCATAGCATTTGATAAATTAGATATCAATTCCCGATGATTTTCTTAAATTAGTTTTTAACTTGGAGAACAGTTTATATCATCAAAATCGACTTTGTAATTTTGAATTTATTATATTAAAGTTCAAGAAATGAGAAAAACATGTAAGTTGCTCTTTTTTTTTAATTGCTGGCGTTCCCTATTTCTTGGATTTTTTAAAAAGCTTAGTAAAAGATTCTTTCTTTCTGTATTTCTTTTTGGCAGTTCTTATCAGCAGAAGCGGCAAAGTATTCTGTTATCGGTAAATTACTATAAAGTACTCGATACCTACAGGCATCGATATTTTATGTAGAGTTTGGCAAGCGAAACGTGACACCACCTATTTTTCCGTTTTCATATGGCAACAACATAGAACTGTCAGTTTGACACTACGTTAGACAATTCAAGAATATTGAATTTTGTTGTTTTTGCGAATTTGAACTTGTGTTTTTGGTTAAAAATTATGTCGAAGCCGATAAAAAGTTCATCGAGGAAACTTCTTTCCATCATGATTGACAAGTTTACTGAAGTGAAAACTGAATTAAATAAAAATTTCATGGAGAAATTACAACGATTAGATAAAGTTGTATCTTTTTTAGGTTAGTTTTGTATTATAATTTTGATACTTTCGTTTTAATTTTCTGTAATTAACTAAACAGATATTTTTTATAAAATATTGCTCTATTTCAGATAACTGTGATGGTGATATTCAACCAATAATGGAGGAGATAAATGCAATAAAAACTTTAGAAAAACAAGAAATGCTGAATTCGGAAACGCAGTACTTACAAAAAATTTCTTCAATGACAGGTCTCTTTTCTTGTTTTGATTTAAGATAGATTGATAGTATTCCTATAATATTTACATAGGTTTTTTATGATGTATTGGTTTTTATTGTTGACATCCAATGATGTCATAAGAATGTTTTGTTTAACAAGGAAATTCACAGAATTCATGAAACTAATCAAACCATGTAATTGTTATACATGCTAAATATGCACATAAACTTAACTAAATTAAACATAAATTGCATTCATAGTTGAATAGGTATTTAAATTATTTTGATGTATGTGTCTATCATTATTTGCTTTTAAATACATTTAACATATCTTTGTTTCAAAGTGTTTAATCTTTTATAGATGTAAGTATAAGGACACTAAGAAGGATAAAAAATGAAGCATTAATTAATAAAGGAAAATGGGACACTCCTGGGAAAAAACGACCTCATCAACCAACAGTGTCTGCTTTAGATAATTTTGATTTAAGTGCAATTCGGAATAAAGTAAATGAATTTTACTGTGTGAAAAAAATTGTTCCAACATTAAGAAGCCTTCACAATGAATTAAAAGATGCAATAGGATTCAGTGGTAGCCGTGAGACTTTACGAAAAATTATGCTTAAGAATGGATTTTCTTTTAAAAGCAATGAAAATGAACGTTCTATGCTTATAGAAAAATACCAGATTTCTGCATGGAGGCACAAGTATTTGAGAGAAATAAATATAAAACGAAACGAAGGAAAGCAAATTGTGTACCTTGATGAAACTTATGTACATCAGAATTATAAAGTTAAAAAGTCTTGGCAAGGACCTTCAACAACTGGTGTCACTACAAAGATATCCTCTGGAAAACGGCATATTGTTGTGCATGCTGGATCTGAGGAAGGTTTTGTGCCTGGTGCATTATTAGTGTTCAGTAGTAAATCCAAATCTGCTGATTATCATGATGATATGAACTCATCGAACTTTATGAAATGGGTCAGAGAAAAATTAATACCAAATTAAATAATTAAATAATACCAAATTTAAGTAAGCCCAGTGTAATTGTTATGGATAATGCCAGCTACCATATAAAACAAATCAATAAACCGCCTATAATGTCTAATACCAAAGCAGATATCCGTAAATGGCTTGTAAATAATGGAATACATTTTGAGGAATATCAGACAAAGGCAGAGTTAATGTGTTTGGTTAATGATAAGAAAACATTGCCTGTATATGAAGCTGAAGAGATTTTAAAAGAACATAATCATGAACTTTTATTGCTGCCACCGTATCATTGTGACTTAAACCCAATAGAGATGGTTTGGAGTCAAGCAAAAAGAAAAATTGCAAGCAGAAACATTGGAATACCAGGAAAGGAAATGGAAAACTTAATAATAGAGTGTTTTAACTTAATTACCCCTAGTGACTGGAAGAAATACACTGATCATGTTTTAAATGTCGAAAAAGATTACAAATTAAAAGATGGCATTGTTGAAAACGAACTTGAAAAATTTATTATATCTGTTGGTGCAGACAGTAGTGAAGAGAGTGACTCTGATGATTCCTTGTCATTGTTATCAGGTGTAGAATATTTAGAAACAGATTTTGACTATGAATCAGACTAAAGTATTTTTAGTCTGATTCATAGTCAAAATCTTATCTTAAATTTTCTATTGTGATTAACATGATGATTTTGTGACACCTGTATTATGTAATTTATCCATGGCACTTAATTGTAACAAAAATAAATGTTTTTTTTATTGTAATCTGGTGTTTATATTGACTAATTTAATTTGATAGATAGTGGTTCTGGATCAGAGCAAAAGGTTGTGATGAAAATCCCTTAGGAGACATGTATGTGTTATGAACACATTATAAATATAAGGGCCAGAAATCAAAATTGGCTAACATCACATTTATTAAAAAAATGTGGCCAGAGTCGCCCATATTCATTACAAAAAAACAAAGAAGTCGTTGCAAAAAACACCCTTTTAATTAATGACAAATATGAATTTTTAATATTATAAGTGCTGTTAGCCAATAGGTATAACGAATGGGTTAAAAAAAAGATTCGATTTAGTCCGTCAGTCAGATAATAGAAAAATATTGGATACGTATTTTTTTTCGCTTTAATTTAACAACAAATGGCTTAAGAGGTACTATGCGACGACTTCAAATATGCTTTGCAACAATGTTACTTTAATACAGTTTATCGATACGAAATCAAGTGTCAAAATGGAGTCCAGTGGAGAATGCCGATATTGACATTTCGAAATTGCTCATCATTGATAGAGAATACGAAATAGTGATTTTGACACAATCAAAGTGTCTATTTTTTACGGTGATGACGATTCTTGGTTGTCAGTTGAGTTAGTGAATAGGCCTACTGATATGCTGTTAACTGTACAATTAAGAACAGTCACGCTTTAGTCAAATGTTCCAAAACAAATAATTTTAATTGATATCTAAATGTTAAGATTAAATATAATTAATAAAAGTATCAAAATTATTTTGCAGTACTACATTCAGTGTTTACTGCTTAAGAATTTTTGAAATTGCCGCCCTTTTCTTGTGACACGTTTCGCTTGCCAGACTCTATCTTCTAACACTACTTTGACATTACAGCTGATGACGTCACAGGCCAGTAAACAGAATTGTGATTGGTTGTGACGACGACCAATTATAGGGCGTTTTCGTCATTGAATAAATTCCTAAAAATATTGCATTTTCTTTACGTTATTTTACTAAATCTTAACATGCTTTTTCTGCAGATGTTAAGAAATAAGCTTTATTAGATTATTATCTATCAGGATGAACACAAAATGCAACTGATTTTCGATAGTGTCAAATACCCTACTTGTAGAGTCGTCTTAGAATGAGTAGTAATTTCAGAAAAAAAGAAAGCACTATAAATGTTCCTCACAAGATGGCGACTCTAGTAAAAGTTGATTTTTTCAGGAAAAGAATATAAAGCCCAACTAGCAAATTAGTCATATAAGGTAAAGTTTATTCAGCTTTTCGGTGTTATAAAAGTCGAGTACAAAAATTATCAATAAAAATATTTAATCCAGAAGTACTTACAGAAGGCTGACTAAAAAACTTGTCAATTTTGGGCAATTTTTGTTTACTTTCTCCTCTTTCTTGGCGTTGTTTGTGTTTAAATGCACCACCGGGTTTCTTTTTTTTTTGTCCATAATATTAGTTTTCTCATTTATTAATGCAATATTTATGTAAGATTGTACTCAAGAAGGTACTCACTGTTCACTGACAACGTTACAAGTAAAAGGAAAGCGAAACGTGAATGAATGAAAATGATACGATACAAGGCGTCGTTGGGGAATCCCCGGCAAACACTTTATCGCCGTCAGTGTTACTACATTTGACGGTTTGACGGACTACAATCAAATAAAATTGAACTTTTGTATGGACCAGTACAAAAAATTTATTGACATACGATTACTTACTCCTGATACAATAACTTTTTAACCATTCTCGAAAAAAAATCTTGACTCGAAATTCACAATCGCGAATCACAAAAACGCATATCGATAAATAATAATATGCAGATATAGATTTCCAACAAATTGATGAAAACATTAATAACATTGTCAACCCACACAAATAATTTACGGGAATTCCCTTTTTACCCGACTGCGCGACGCAAAGGACCCTCCTTTATAACTTAGGAATTACTCACAACTGAGTTTCCATGATTAAACTCGAGTTGTCACCTGTCATTTTTATTTTAAAGATGGCAGAAATTTTCAAAAGTTGAGTTCGATTGAGATTTTCTGGTAAAGATTCGAGGGCCCCCTGAGCTTGAGGGCCCCGGGGCACTGCCCCGCCTAGCCCCTTAGTAGCTACGCCACTGCATTTCGGTCACATAATGATGCTGAGTAAACGTTTAGTCAGCATCCTTATATGACTTAAGTGTCATATAATATTTTGCTGAATAAGTCGCTAGTATACGACGCTTATGTTACTATTTCGTCGAGTAAAAGCATATTATATAGCTTTCTTATGGCAAGGTTGACTCAGTCGAGTAAAAGCAACATTGTTGCTTTTATACTACTATTATGAAGTATACGTCGCATTTATACGAAATAGTCGTATAATGTCGCCTAAAGCCTAAAATATCGTATAATTGTATCCATTACACCGATCAGATTGTTTTGTGTAAAATGCTGTGAGTAGTTTACAGTTATCGAAAATGGACTGGAATAAATGGAAAAACAAACAAAAAGTCTTTTTTAGAAAACTTTTTAGGAAGTTCTAAGGAACCCTAAACTATAATCAGAGTGGTATCATGGCGCTCATACTGCTAATTTGCTGTATAAGAAGCTATTATACCGCCTGTCAGCAGTAAAAATGGTGTACAAAAATAATATTGATATAAAAATATTTGTTATTATATTCATATTACTAAGAATTAAAGGGGGGCGTTAAATATTTATGATATAACCTAGTATATTTCCTCAGAAAACTTACCTTCGCAATACTTTACAACCCTATGCGTGAGTTTACGAACCTACATTTGGTGCAACCTACAAATTAACATGTCTGCTAAATAAATTGTACTTACCGATGAATTATAATTTTTAAAACACAACACGTCGAAGCACTTGCTTATTTTATTTACTATAAATGTTTTCAGCTGTTTTGTATCCCAGGTCGCTTCAATAAGACAAACATGTCATATAAAAGTCATATAAGTTACAGTTATAGCGCAACATAAGCTTGTAACAGTCACTCCGGCGATAATTACGTGACGATTTACCTGAATAAGTTACCTTTATACGATGTCTATGTGACTGAATTGCTGAATAAAATGGGCCCAAATCGCGTTGTATAAACGTTTTCATTACGTTTATACGACTTCTATTAGGAGCCAAAATGCTGAATAATTTTCGTTGCCGCGACTACTATACGACATATTTTTGCTAGTTGGGAGTAATTTCCGTACCTTTTAACTAACATACAAAAAAAACTGAAATTTGAAAAGTTGTAACTTAGATATCAATATAAATACGTAAAAGTACAAATAGAATATGAGTTGGTTATTTAGTTTTGAAAATTAATTTACTTTTATACATGAAAGAAAACCGGAAAGGTCGTAATGAAGAAATCAAGAAAGTACCGTACCGACATGTAGTTTGATTTTGGGAACTAATGTTTTTTTTTTAAATAATTCTTCATTACCACTGGATTACATAGTAAAATTTTATTGAACTAACAATAACGATTAATCGATGCAATAACGAATATTTTAAATTTCAGGTGAAGACTGCTTTAAATGTAAATTACATTAACAAGTCCTTAGAAAAGAAAAAAATATATACACTAGCTGTTTTCACCATTCATACCGTTGTGGTATTATCTAATGGGTTAATCTATGTTTTTATGAGTGGTGTTTCTGGTAAGATTGATTAACAGATATATATTTTATATACAGAAATCACTATAACAAATTCTTACATTAATTTTCTTCGATACATATCTTTACTAATATTATTAAAAGGAAAGATTTTATCGTTTATTTAACAGAACGACTCTTAGTCGGGGCCCATTTAAATTTTACCAATCAAATCTTCCCAAGGGACCCTGATTATGAGTCGTTCTGTTCTGCATTACTTAACATAATTTTTAACTACTGTGTTTGGTTTTTGTTTTTAGTTTTTATTTAAGTTAATCTTTTCATATATTTTTTTAAATTCGTTCGTTTTTCTTTAAATTATTAATTTTTATTTTATACTTTTTTACTATGTTACGATACGTTGACTTCGTTATAAGATGATAAATTTCGCAATCTAGTCATTTCATTAAGGGAGTTAATATCGTTTATTTAACATCTATTAATCTTTATATATTCTAAACTGTTGTTTAAAATAAAAAATGATAAAAGAAACCAGAGATGATTTTAAAATACCTATTCAACGACACCCCACTTGACATAGTTTATCGATTTTTTTCATTTTGACAATATAGCGTCTGGTTGTCGCTGTGGTGGATTTTGATTACTGTCATGTCTTTAGTGATATTCGCAAGGTTAAGACGAATCGATTGACGTAAGAGTCATCGGCCAACGCATTTGATCTCTAGAACGCCACATAGAAACAAACATACATACATACATAGACTGATAAACACCACGTTACCCTCCTTTGCGACGTGCAGTCAGGTAAATATTTTGATGACATTTGTTGAAAGTATAGAGAGTTTTAACTACCTATAAAACTTACCTATTATTTTTCCTAAAGATATCCGGAATCCATCTTGAGTCAAGCACCATCGTTTTTGTAACGTTTCAGGTCCAAAACACTACCTCCCCTCATACTTCCGGCGCCTGTGCTGCCATCTAATTTAGCGGGTAGCGAACCAATGACTTTTATGCACGAACGCTTACCGTCATTATACCTACTCTAGATGCACCAGGTAAAACTTGCCTGGATTCCGGATATATTAAGGAAAAATAATAGGTAAGTTTTATTGGTAGTTAAAACTCTCTATTATTTGTTCCGTTCGATATCCGGAATCCATCTTGAGTGATGTGTTTGTTATCTCTTGGTGTGTGCCATTGGTGACGCTATAATGTGTTGCAGGTATAAAAAGTCAAATGTAGTCTGATGAGAAAAAATAATGCAATTATAAGTATATTATGCTATTACATACATAGTACATATATTATGCTGTTACATAACAATGCAATTATAATATGTAATTATTCCAGTATTACGGTAAGCTAAGCTAAATAAATATTGGCTTATTTGTAATCGGTCAATATCATCAATTTTTTTGATTGTCCGATTTATCAGTTTTCGATAGGACTTCTTAAAAGTATATTCTTGGCGCCAGTTTACCGTCCCAGTAGTTATCAATTGGAAACAGTTCCAGTCAATTTAGAGATGGAACTGCAGATGTAATAGAACTTGAAGAAAAATCGATCGCGTGTCCAACATGCAATCTAATGATTTTTGTCAGTTAATCATTTCTATCTAGGCTCTCATAATTACTATTATCTGTTTTTTGTATTAAAATGGGGCCATAAGACAAAAAAAACATTTTCGTCCCTATACTTCAGAGGTTAAAAGGGTCAAATAATGGATTCTGCGACCTTGAACGTTGTGAAGTTATGCCAAATTTCCAGCAACTTGAATAGGGTCTCAATTCTGCCAATTTCTACGTAACATTTCCATTGTACTATATACCTGAAGTCTAATATTATTAGTGCTATGTCTTCCTAACAATTCAATATTCACAAATATATTTATTATTTTATGATGTAGTAACAAGAAAGTGTCATAAAGGGTTATAGTCGAAACGCTATTGACCATTAATACCATAATGGTGGAGTCATTATACCGACATTAGCAGAATTTCCCTACCAGGCACTTGTTATTTGCTGAATTAATACTAGTAGATATTTAAAGTCGCTTTACACTAACTCAATAGTTTCAAGATTTTCTTTCACTTATTTTTTATTTTATTCTACCCGACTTTTAAATAGATTTTCTGAATTTCGGGGGATAAACACCTGATGCCATACCTATTGCAGTGTTCGCGGAAACAAATCGCCAGCCAAGACACTTTATCCCATTTTGGAACAATCATAATGTACTTACTTCCCTTGCCGCTTAATGTAGTCGAGAAAGTATTAGCGGAATCGTGTTTGAATGAGGCCAGCTTGTATTTCCACTGATGACGTCATGCGTTATGACCTATTAGCATGATCATCCGTCACATCCATTGTCATGTACCTGGGAATGACGTGAGCTTTTGTCGATGGAATAAGTTCACATCTGGTGCACATTGGGCTGCTAGATTTAGTGTTCAGGCTATGCATAATTTCTGAATCTGCTTTGTCCGTGTCATAATTACAATAATTTCCTAGATTTGATCACTCCATCTTTGTTTATGTACGGGAATCAGTACAGTTCTCTTAGCATTTACATCTAGGCATTCCGCGAAATGAGGACTCGCGTTGAGCACTCGAACAGATTTCTTATGCGCCTGTCCTCGGATGTTGAGCGAGTTGAACTTTTTCGTTCTTCCTATCAGCCAAAAGACGTCCTGAACGGTGGGGTGGGGGAAAATGTTGGATGATTCAAAAGAGAAGTCTATTTGAATAAAGATTATTTTGACTTTGACCTTGAACTCTGTAATTTTTTTTTTTTTTTTTTATTTATTTATTAAGGAACAAACAGTTATAAAAAATTACATGAACACAAATCAAAGAAAAATATAAATAAACCTATAGTTCCCAACATTACATTTGTTTTATTACTGTTAAACAAAGAAAAAACATCAAACAAGCTAAATATGTTGAACAATATAAATAAATGGGTATCCAACTATATCTTATGCTAAGTTAAACGAACTACGCAACACAAAAATTCACGCTTCAATGCACCGGTCGGCGGCGGCGGCTAGCAAGCGCGTCGCCAGTGCGCCGCCGCAGCAGGCGAAAAGTAGACGCAAAGTACGCCGTTTAACATACTAGGAAAAGTCATTACCGATTGTGGATATTGAAACTAAAATTACGTTAAAATTAGGCAACTAGTATAATAACAACTATATTGTGATGGTTTATTTATTAGCAATATCGGGTAAGTAACTCTCCCAAGTTACGTTATTAACAAATTATAATAAAATACATAAGAAACTAAAATCAACAACTAAAATGTAATATACAATTTACTAAAAACCAATTAGTGTCCTCATTTTTTATTTATTTTTACTTTATTATGTGTTATAGTTGGTAGACCCGGTTACACAAGGATCCAATCCAATTATCACATTGCAAATCATAACAAGAATCATACTCGTAAAATGAAAAAACTCGATCAAACTTAGTCCGGACTAAGTCCGAGAAAAAGTTGCGTGATGATGCTGCCATCAGCTTCCAATTATTGCAGACCAGACAGGCCGACAACAAGAGGTAACATATTTTTTAGCGATAGAAATTATTGTTACTGTAAATATATACCATTGTATTATCTTCGTATTCGCGTTTACCAAGTTATTTAGGTGTAAACTTAAGTTAATTAGTTAAATTAATTATATTGTTTATTTCCAGGTTTGAAATTACAAAATTAAGATACTAAATTAGAAGTGGGATCAAGACATGATAATATAAAATAAAATAAGATAAAAGACAATCGTTCGACAATGATAAAACACACTTTATATGGAACAGCAATCCTTGTAAACGGGTAATTGGAGTGACCAAGTCAATAACAGTGAGTCAGGTCACGGTTAAAGTATTTTAATTTAAATTTAAAAACAAACTGTAATAATGTGATACTAAAAAATGCGCCTATATAAACTATACGTCAGTGTTGCAATATTTCAACGGCATGTCGTTTAAACGCAGCAACAGATGTTCCAAATATATCCACATCGTTAAAAACGTTGTTGTAAAGGGTGCATGCTCTTTTTATGTAACTATTACTTCCATAGCAAGTTCTACTTTGCTTAACGAAAAATAAATCTTTTTTTCGAATGGATCGCTCTTGTTTCCTGGGCACTCGAAAGAAAATCTTTTCCAAAAGAAACGGGGCATCAACCATATCATTCAGTATTTTAAATAAATAGTTTATATCTATAAGATCTCTTCGATCTTTTAGAGAAATCATATTGTGAATAACAAGAGAGGACTCATAATTGAGGTGTGGATTATAAGTTCTATAGTCCAACGACTTAATAAACTTGCGTTGAACCTTCTCAATTTTATCAGATTGCACACGATAAGGAGGGTTCCAAACAGGGCTTGCGAATTCAAGACGGCTTCGAACGTAACTGTTATAGAGTAATTTGTATGTAGCAGGGTTTTTAAATGGTTTACCTACGCGCAATATGAAACCTAAAAACCTAAAGGATTGATTCACAATTTTGTTAATATGTGGGACAAATGTCAGTCCAGAATCGATTAGTACGCCTAGATCCCTAATTTCTGTTACACGGTTAAGAATTTTACCACATAATTTGTATTGAACTTTAATTGGGTCTCTTTTTCTTGTATACGTGATTGTATGACATTTGTCTGGATTCAAAAATAATCTATTTTCATTACAAAATCTTTCGAATTCGCCTAAATCATTTTGCAATAAAATAGTATCTTGTGTATCACGTATTACTTTAAATATTTTTGCATCATCAGCATAGAGAAGTGTACTAGAGTCTTTTATTAAATTAGAGATATCGTTAATATATAATGTAAAAAGAAGTGGTCCTAAATGTGACCCTTGTGGAACTCCAGAAGGTACATCTCTGTATGTGGATGTATAACCGGAGAGAACAACTGCCTGACTACGATTCAATATATATGACTTAAGCCAACGGAATAGATCTCCATGGATCCCAAGCTGCCAAAGTTTTGCCAGCAGAGTATTATGACAAATTTTATCGAAACATTTCGCAAAATCAGTGTAAATAACATCAACTTGAAAATTCTTATCCATTGCATCTAATAAAATCTCTGTGAAACTTAATAGGTTACTTTCAACACCACGCTTCTTACAAAACCCATGCTGCGTTTTTGTAATAACCCTCTTTACAGCATCAAGTAACTGTTCAGTGACGATTTTCTCCTGTATTTTGGCGAAGTGAGAAAGCTTAGAGATAGGTCGATAGTCAGTAACGTGTTGACTAACTGAACCCTTAGGTACTGGCGTTATTAATGCCCGTTTCCATTCCTGCGGCACAACAACAGTATTGAACGATAGCTTGAAGATATGAAGCAAAGGATCAGTTAATGAATTAGCACATTTCTGGATGAATAAAGGATTTATGCCATCTGGACCAGTTCCTTTGCTTGTATTAACATTTTTGAGATACTTATTTAATGTATCATATGATATCTCAATAGTAGCGATATCTATCAGTGCCTCAGTTGGTGGATTCATAAATTCCGAAGATATTCCCCTCGTACTATTTACGAAAACAGAGTGAAAATGTTCACTGTAGAAATCACAGATTTATTTACCCTCACTACTACTCTTTCCATTGAAATACATAGTATCTGGAATCCTACTATTGCCTTTGATTGCCTTCACATATGTCCAGAAATATTTTGGAAATGTTTTAATTTTAATCTCTGCGTAATTTATATAGTTTCTGTAGCATTCACTTTCCATATGTTTAGCCCTTTTTCTCAATAATGAAAACGATTGGTAGTCTAGAGGATTACCATAAAGTTTCCATAATTTATGAATTTTTCTCTTTTCATTTAGTAACTTTCTAAGAGGTTTTGTGTGCCAAACAGGATAGCTTCCATTAGATTTATGTATTTTGTTAGGAACATATCTAGATATAAGATTTTTTAAAAGCAAATAGAATTTTGATACACTTTCATTGACATTTAAATTATTAAAAAAATGTACCCAGTTAACTCTATTAAGCTCCTCGTTGATTGAGTCGTAGTCAGCCTTGCAAAAGTTATAAGAACGTATCAATGCTGAGCGGATTTCAGTAAAATTGTCTATATGTATGCTTATTTCTATAGATTTATGGTGCAAATCTATTTGGGTCAAGGGGTGAGAACAACTAACAATATTACACGTAACGTTACCTATAATTAAGTCAAGTATTCTATTATTAATATTTACAATGCCATTGTATTGTTGAAAACCAGTAAACGCTAAGTAATCTCTGAGAATATTGACTGAGATGTCGCCACCTGCTTGCAACAGTTTATAGGAGTAGTGAGTGTCCTTCCATGTCGCGTTAGATATATTAAAGTCGCCCAGCAACAAATAATAATCCTCGGGACGATCGTTTAGAATATCACTTGTCACGGTGAAAAATGCTTCCAATGTGTCACGATAGCCCGGGCCATAAGGTATGTAAACACACGCGATGTTGAGGTATACCGAATTTTTTGCATTTAGTGGAACAGATAGCCATACACAGTCAGAAGAAGCACGTGGCGGGATTGGCCAGTCTCTGCGAATCGGTCTTAGATTAGTACGCACTGCGACAGCGACACCACCGCCACGTCTAACGCCCGCCTCCGCCTGCGACCTGTCACATCGAAATACAGTGTATCGACCATCAAAATACTCTCCATCATAAAAATCAGCAGTAAGCCAGCTTTCCGTAATACATATTAAATCGTAGTCAGATGTAACTACGTGTGATAGAAAGTCATGAGATTTCGTTCGCAAGCCCCTAACGTTTTGATAATAACAAAACAGTTTTTTTGGGCCCATCAAAACCTAGACAAAACAGATGTAAAACACTCTAATAACATGAAACAATCAATTATTTTTACAATGAGAAGTACACATCGCAAGAAACCGATTGAAAACAAAATATAGAACTTTAAACTTTGGAAGCAAAGATTTAACATACCTTTCCAATATTTTAAAGTCACCAATCTAAAACCCACAGCAACCCGATTCACACAATCAAAACTTATAAAGGCTGCATAATAAATTTTAATAAAAAGGAAAGTGAAATTGTTGTTTAGTAGTCACTTTAACTTGGATAGATCTGACTCACCATTTATAACAATAATTTTGGACTTGTCGTTCCTACGCATTAAGATTTTACAGTCTCTTATCCATAAGTATGTATATCCCATGCTAGTTTTTAACTCCCTGGCCCGTTTTAAAAGTATCTTATTGCGGGGGGTAAGATGGTCAGACACGTATATATTCTGTTTGGGGCCAGAAAGATCAATATCGGTGGTGGTAAGACCACGTCTTGAACGCACTGCAGCCAACATTTTATCCTTAGCAAGACGGCGCGTGAATCTCACAACAATAGCAGGAGGGCGCGGCTTGCTAGACCCAGACGTAGACATATCCTTAGATTCAAATCGTTTCACACGTACGATGCCATCTATGTCACGTTCATCCAAAACATGCCCAACCTTACTACTTATAACTTGTAATAGTGTATGGAGATTCTCGCCAGAGGTAACAGGTATTCCAGAGATTTCAATATTATTTATTCGTGCATATTGTTCTCGCGTGTGATTCTCCAATTGTAATCCAGAAATGGTTTCCCTCGCAGAATCCAACTCTGCCTTCAGTTGCGGTATAATCGAAGTTTTTCTCTCAGTTTCTATAAGTCTATCTTCGATGTTACTAAAACGGGTCTCCATTTCATTAAATTTATTACTCAAATCCTGTATAGCATTGGTTATAACTTGTATATTAGAGTTAACAGTAGTAAAATCTGCACGAAAAGCCCTTATTTCCTGAAGAACATCTATAAGACTAGGCTCAGTAGGGGCTGAGATATTACTCGATCCACCCCCAAATTCAAAATTTACATCGTCACACGACATATCAGCATCAACTGTTGGTTGCTCGAACTGGCGTCGGGTAGGTGTTTCATCGCCTTTCGGGCGCCTTTTTACGTTATCACAAGTGGGACATAACCAGTTACCTTTAGTTAATATATAGGTTTGCTGTTTCATGTTAAGACACTTGTAATGATAATGCCCTTTACAGCTGATGCAAACCAATACTTCGTTGCGACTGATCTTACCGCTACACGCCAAGCAATTCATTGTGTATAAAATAAAATAATATTCAGATTCCAAACTCACCGTCAGTGTTTTATTTTGATATAACTTTTGCCTCTGAGAGGTATCAGTCAAAGTAGGCGCGTCTGCGTCGCTTAGTCTTTGTTCGATGACGCACACACGACCTGGTAAACACGTAGTGGAACGGCGCACGCAAATCTCGCACTTAACTCTGTACTCACACTACGGACACGCACGCCACATTCACCTGCAGGGGGCTCGTTCACAAAAACCAAGACGGTAGTTCTCACACGAAGACGTATTGTTGTTGTATTAACAATTATTACGAAATCAACAATTTATTGCAGTTATACGCACACAGTGATTATTATGTTAACTTAGTATGATGTTATTCAATTTAGTCGTGATAAAACAATTACACAATAAACACGTTCAAAAATAATTTAGGTGGAGCTCGTAACAGAATGCACTTATCAGTTTACCTTTTTTATGGACCTACCATAAAGAAAATTATCACCAGTCGTAACCGCAGCAAGTAGGAACTGTTCAGGACCGTGGAGTCAGTAACCGCGTTCGTAAGGGACGTGATGGTGGCTGTGGTTACCATAATTGCGGTCCTGGTATGGATACTATGACAGTGCTATTTTGTTATGGACAAAATGCACAGGTGGATTTAGGTTTACAGTTTTTATCGTGCATTATCAAAAATGACCCTTGCTGGGGTTACAAATGGAATGCAAATCACTTACAGTTTTTCTCGCTTCTGTACCTTACTTGTTCTCTCCGAACTGGAATCCGACGACACTGTTCGACGAGCTCGAAGACAATGAACATGCCTGCTTCAATGCTGTCTTCTATATTTATTTCTCTGTCCCGTAGCTCCGTAATAAAATGTCCTTTGTGCACATTTTATTTAGGACCGATGTTTTCGCCACGAAAAACGACGCTATAATGACGGTAAGCGCTAAAACTAGATGGCGCCGGAAGTAACAGGGGAGGTAGTGTTTTGGACCGGAAACATCACAAAAAGGATGGTGCTTGACTCAAGATGGATTCCGGATATCAAACGGAAGAAATAATGTTTTGTTTTATAGTAATAGGGTACCCGTTTCTGCCTTTAGGTACGGTAGTCAGAAAAACAAAAAAAAATTTTTTTTTTTGAAGATTCGGAAAAATCGGTAACACCTATAAAACATACATCGTTTGCCGTCAAATACTCATCGGATATACAACCTCCTTCTTTTCGATTTTGTAGTCGACTGAAGAAAAGGTTTTCCGAGCGATCGTGGGTGGTCCTTATTGTTAGGAATGTGGACAGCAACAAATCTACAATTTTATGAAACAGCAGAGAAGCTTCATTATCGCTCTTCATTAGAGAAAAGATTATAAAATTTGGTGTTCAGAGTATCGTATTATTTTTCTATGAGCTAAATATTAAAATAGCATTGATTTATTGTATAATTGCAGTTTATGTTGCTGTGATGTGTATTTGCAACGCCATCCAAATGATGATGATTTATTGCTTAGCACTGCAGTTTGCTTTATGTGCAATGGAAGTGTATTCAGCTTTGTCGGTCATAAATGATGCACTTGAACGACTTATCCGACCAATTACTGTAAAAGAACGTAGAAGCTGTTCTATCTATGGTAAGGTTTTGAAACGTTAGATGATTTCTTACAAAAATAATTATTATATTGATGATAGGTGAGTAGGGTAAGTATACATTGAAAGACACATTTTACTATTTAATATTAGAAATGACACATCTGCCAACGATCACGTGCTCACGCGTTAACTGCGCGGACGACCGCGGTCTCGTTTCATTCGTTTGTTGAATCGTTTTGGAATTTCACGCGTGAATCGTGTTAGCGTGTGAAATTCTTAGCGCCTTAGCGTACACCTACTTAGCAGTATTAATCGTTAAGAGAGAAAAGCGTATTAACTAACACACTGGACGCTAATGTAACCACTACAAGTTTTACAAAACTGACAACCCGAAGGTATATTGGCGCAAAACTGATCAAACGTCAAAGTAAAAGTGACAATAACAGCTAACTGACAGATAGGGATCCCCATAGTGAAATCATGGACTTGGTACTATATAATAGGAAAGAGCACTCCCAGATTAAAAGCGACACGAACGAGATGTCAAGTACAGAGGCTATTTGTCTCTTTCAAATAGGGCGATAATAACATGTTCGTTAAGTGCGACTTTTCATATGGTTCAGTTTTTTAACTACCGCTGCTATTATTGTACACAGTCATATTGTAAAACTCGCGTAAATTACATAATTTACGCATACTGTCACCACCATGACACTATAAAAGGATGCCCGTAGAAAATAAGTAAACAAATGGCCTTGATGATAATTTGTATAATCTCCGCAAATTGCTAACGTGCCGGGCCGCCATGCCTGTGTTAAAAAAACAGTATCGTTAACCAATAAATACTAGTCGACGGAGAATACTTATCGAGTTGTGTTGTATTGAGATCACACACATTTTTGTTGTTTTCGATTGTTCTTGTTAAGTTTTTGTAACTTGTTATGGTTGAATAAAAAAGGAACTGCTATTATGATTACCACAACAAGTAAACCTGATTTCATTAAAAATAAATACATCTAATGTCTCTCTCCTCATAATTAATTTTGACGATATTTTAAAAATCGTCCTTTCCTTTTGTTACCGCGTTATAACGAAGTAAATGTTTGTTTTCATATTTTTTTTTCTATCCATATAACTCAATTTTAACATAGAAATTCTTGAGAATTCTCGATATAGGATAACAAACTAAAAGTTATTAAATTATAGTAAAAATATTTTGGGAATTATTTATAAATATGTATTTCAATAATTAATAAATTATTTATCTCTTGTATTTTGTTCTATCTATCCTACTTGCAATTGCAAATGACGCCTACTTCCTATTTGGAATGACGTCACGCGGGTATTCTTTCGACAAGGATCCAGAGCATTAGCAATTTTCGGGACTTCTACTATCTTTTTGTAATAATTTAAAGTACGGGACTCCCATTTCGTTTAGTTCCTTTGCGAACGTTCGGACGTGTTACGATGCCATAGTGCGTATTAAAACTACAAATATAACTAACGGAATAAAAATGAATCTGTTGGAATATCATACATTCGGGTTATAAATGTGATTTTACAATATCTATAATTAATAATCAAAGTATTTTCAATAAAATAACAGTTTCGTAACTGAGCCAACCCAAACACCAATAAGGCGAACATTCACAAATATTTGATCAAATATTCTAGGACAGCATATACATGGAGTAGTATAGTATTACATTATTTTACCAAAAATTTCACAACAATGAGGAAGTATTTAAAAAAGAAAGCACTAAAAATATATCAATACAAATACGAAAAAGTACAAACAGAGTATGAATATATTTAATTTTGAAAACTAATTTACTTTTATACATGGAAGAAAACAGGAAGGGTTGTCATGAAAAAATCAAGAAAGTACCGCAGTGACATCTAGTTTTTATTTCGGGAACCAATGTTTTTTAAACACATCCTCATTAGCGCTGCCAAGAGTTTTCGATATTTTTCCCTGAAACATACAAAAAAATCTGGTAACCATTTAGTGTGTTAAAAAAAATAAGATGAATTTAGAATTTCGCGGGCTACGTTCTTTACATTCTTTACGTTCTTCTACATTCAACTTTCGATTTACTTTTTTATGTTATGTGTTCCGTCTTAGCTCTTTGCTTATAGCATGTTTAGTTTATTTACGAGAGACATAAACAAGTTTATTGTGTGTTCAGCGATTTTCTGCTACCGAAAAAATAGATTAAAATATTTGCGTAACATTTTGTATTAGTGTTAATAAAAATATAAATAAAAAGTAAAAATATAATAAAAGCTTTTTCTTTTATTATATTTTTACTTTTGTTTCAATATGTTATTGTTATGGTTTACTCCGTGATTGTTGGACTTCTGTTTTTTATCATAAAGACGGATCTAAAAAGCCCAAACATTATGCAGTTGCGTTATTTATATGATCACTTTCCAGCTCCATCATCCAGCATCCAATACCAGTCGTCATAGACGAATCTAACGAACCCAAACATCTTTCAACTTCATCATCATTTATCAGCTTACTGAGATAATAATATTGCATTGCTATCTGACTTACATGTTTATGCAAAATTTAGAATTACAGGACACCGGGAAGTGGGTAAAATTTCGGTATCAAGATTTGCCCACTAACTAACAAGGCAAGTTAAATAAAAGCTTGAAAAAATAAAATTAAGTACTCAAAAATACTTTAAATGTTGCCATCATTTGGTATTCGGTGAGAGAATTAACTGATGAAAATGTCGAGAACGTGAAGAAAGTCTCTCCTCTTGCAAATAAACTAAACATGTTATAGCTGAGACTATGTACCAAGGTAAAAAAAATAATCGAAAGATGATTGTACGTAGCCCGCGAATTTTAAAATTCACCGTATTTTTTTAACATACCTCGTATATACCTAGATTACCTCGTATATACCTATTTATTTAGATGTTGGAGAGGTACGGTTGCCAAGAGTTGAAGCTAAAAGTATAAGTAATGTAGCAGCAGCGTACTCTCGCGTCTGCAGCACGGTGGCGCGCCTCTACGGCTGCCACGAGGTGGCTGTCTTTATGGTCCTGATCATTTGTTTCTACTATCTCATTGCAATGAGTTTTTGCACTGTTATGGAAATGGGTATGATTATTATTTGAAATTATCAATTTAAACGGAATATTAAATAATGTTTTAAAACATGTTTTGTCTGTTTTAGTTATCTACTATATAATAGGCATGATGCCTGGGCAAAACAAAAAGAATTTCTAGTTAGGCCATCAGTTAAATAATTACATTTTGCTTAAATTCATCAGGAAATGAATTGGATAATAGTCATTAAAGTTGATAAAGTGGGGGCTCACTACATCAAAATACGTGAAGCCACACCTTTGTATAAGAAAATACAAAGTTGTGACGTCACGTGACATTTTAACTTAATGTATCGCCGCCGTACTTTATTGATTATACATTTTTTTTTAAATATGTATTTAATTTTCTCTTTTAATCTAGCCGACGGACAGACAAACAAAAACAAGTCAACGTCCCTCCCTGTTTAATTATATTCGATGATTATACTATTTAGCGTAAAGACTTCTATGTATACTAGCGAAAACTACGTAAATTCAGAAGGCATATGTGTGGTGCTAGGTGGTGCTAGTGGTTAGCGCGCTCAGTCTGTGATATACGGTTGTTAAGCAACTTTCGAAAAGACCTGACCAAGATGGGTGACCAAACATTTATTATTTGGAGTTCCTATGTGCTTCGAAAGGCACTTAAGATCTTTCAGGATAGAAAAGGACAAGGATATTATCGGCAAGTAACCTAAGGAAGTATCTATTAAGACGTTTGCACGAAGAACAAAATGTCCTTTCGTGCGGGATATTCGCTAGACATTGTCACCGTGGTTTAATAAAGTGGCCTTAGATAGAGCAACTCGTTCGTATCGTAAAATACAATATTAGATACATATTATTGTACTGCACGGGCTCTGTATGACCCTTTACGTATTTCTTTTTTCCTTAATTTGACTATAGCTCTTTTTTTATCTAGAAAAAATGTTCTTGATCCGTTTTGCTGTGTTGAACTTGGCTGCCTGGTGTGTGATGATGATTTTATGGCTGGTGTCCGTCACTGAACCATGCCATTTAATCCAACTCGAGGTAAGTTTCAATCAGATATCCACTGTTGTTAATTAATTTTGATTTCGCAAATTAAAAGAACAAGCCGTGACAGTAGTATCCCAAAAAATGGAAATCGATACCTGCTTCTTCCTCAAAAAGACAAACACATAGCGTGGGCAAAATTAGCGATTTCATTTCTCGAATCTAAAATTATTTTTAGATATTTATCTAACTTAATAGTAGATTATTTACCAACATTAAAAATACTGTGTACTGTGTTAAAAACACTGTGTCTGTCAAACGCCGCGTATAACGTCACACGCTAGTAAATATGGCTTCCTGTTAATATTATCGTGTGACGTCATACACGGCGTTTGACAGACAGCGTTTTACGCACTGAAATTTAAATTTTAAATTATATTTTATTAATTTAATGTTAACATAACACATTAAATTTCCCCGAAATATTAATTTTATTATGTTAACTATTTCCAAAATTAGTCAAATACCCTATTATGTTGTCAGGTCGAGCACATGGGACGGACGCTGAGTCAGTTGGTATCAATGTTCTCGGACGAGCGTATCTCTGCCGAGTTGGACACTTTCAGTCGTCGCTTGCTGCTTAACAAACTAGAGTTTTCCCCGTTGGGTATTTTTACTTTATCACGCTCCCTTATAGTTTCGGTGAGAGTCTAAGGGTTATCAAATTAACTTTCTAAATTGACAATATACTAAAGAGTAACTTTAGACAACCTAGGTACTACATATCACTCCATCAAGCTATTCACGCTGAAATTATATTCATACTCACAAAGAACTTGCGTCGGACGTAGATCGAGAAAGAAACAGCTGATATTAATTAGATATTTGTGCTTCTTATCCTACCACCATTAACTTAGAGTATTAATCTAATTCTCCATTTGCTGGAGTGAGACTGGATGAAACAGTTTGTTTGTTATGGTTTACTTGAAGGGTTTACTACAAGGGCTTATGCGGCCATTTACGGTAAATTTTGCGTATTTAATGATCATTATTATGTTCAAATTCATACCGTTTGAAATGTTTTTAATCTCAATTTCTTCGATCAACAATACAACTAGATCTCCCTTCAGGGTCTCAAAATTGAGGAATTATTTAAAAAAAAAATTAGTTCCCAAAATCAAACTAGATGTCGCTACAGTACGTTCTTGATTTCTCCATGACAATCTTTCCGGTTTTCTTTCAAGTTTAAAAGTAAATTAGTTTTCAAAACTCAATAAACAACTCATATTCTGATTTCACTTTTTCATGTTTATATTTGTTAGTTTTATATTAAACCAATAATAATAATGCCTTTCAAAACACTATAACTTTATTTTAATACCTTTGGGTTTTTTATCTATCCGTCAGCCATATTTGGCAAAGTGTACAGATTTAGACACAGATAATCATAGAGAGAACTAGAGGCAGTGTTGCCAATATAAATGTATGTATAATACTTAACACGCCTCCTTACATTTATATTGCAACAAACAAAATAACAAATACCTATGAAATCAGCCATTCAAAGCCAATTCTATATATTCTAAAAAAAATATGTCTTGGCAACAAAAACTTAACTATTCTTAGATATTGTCTACCAATCTTGTGTTATATGTTTATATTCAACATTTCTCTAAATTTTACAAATTTCGCATTTCCTAAAGGTTTAGTTAACAGATCAGCACAATTATTTTCAGACTCTATTTTTACAACTTCAATAGCTTTTTCCTTTACACTTTCATGAATAAAATGGTATTGTACCTCTATATGTTTAGAATTTTTAGTAAAATTTCCATATTTAGCTATAACTACCGCACCAGAGTTATCTTCATATACTTTTACAGGTTTACAAATTTGTGTGAAAACATCATTTACTAAACATATCAAAAATTTTATTTCTTTAACAGCTTCTGAAAGAGCTATGTATTCGGCGAAAGTTGAGGAGGTAGCTATACAATTCTGTTTCTTAGATTTCCATAAAATTACATTTCCAAAAAATCTTATTACATAACCAGTAGTTGATTTCCTATCAATTATGTCTCCTGCCCAATCTGAATCTACAAAGCAATCAAGTATGTTTCCATCATGGTTTTTAAAGTATTTTAATTTCAGGCTTTTAGTTAAATATAGATATTTCAACACTCTAAGGGCATATTTATAATGAGTCTCATCACAACAATTTTGAAAGCGACTTAGATAATTTACACAGAAAGAAATATCAGACCTTGTTCCAGAACTAATGTATAACAAAGCTCCAATCAAATTTCTATATTTTAAATCTTCATTTAATTCACCTTTTTCTATTTTTAAATTTATTTCCATTGGTGTTTTGTACAATTTTGCATTTTCAATATTATAACGTTTTGCTAGTGACTCTATATAATGTTCTTGACTCAAAGTTAAAATGTTATCCTGTTCATAATTATACTCAATATCTATACCTATGTAGTTTTTAACTTTTCCTAAATCTTTCATTTTAAATTTATCTGATAATTTACATTTTATGTCAGCAATAGTGTTCTGGTCTTTACAACAAATCAAAAGATCATCTACAAATAATAAAATATACACAGCTGAACCATTATCCTTTTTGTAATACAAACAGTAGTCATATCTGGATCGTTTAAAACCAAGGCTTGTCAAAAAATCATTAAAACATTCGTACCATGCACGAGGGCTTTCCTTCAGACCATATAATGATTTATATAATAGGTAAACTTTATCAGTATCAGTTTCATATCCTATAGGCTGTTTTACATAAACTTCAGAAATAACTCTACCATTAAGAAAAGCTGTTTCTACATCCATCTGATTAATCTCTAAGGAATTTTGACAACAATATGACAATAATAATTTTAAGGTGGGCATCTTTGCTACAGGGGAGTAAACATCATCAACACAATCAGTTTGTTGGAAACCTCTAACCACTAACCTTGCCTTATATTCACTTTCACTTTTCTTCTTGTATACCCATTTCACATCTAATACCTTCTTGTCTTTGGGTGGTTTGTCGACTAATGTCCATGTTTTATTCTTCTCTAAACTTTCCATCTCTCGATCCATGGCTGCCTTCCACTTACTTGAGTCCTTGCAGGTAATCGCCTCCTTAAAAGTTTCTGGTGTTGTCGCTTCACAGTAGTTAGCAGTTATGCAATAGTATCCAAACTCATCATCAAATCGGAGTGGTGGTTGTCTTTTACGTTTGTTTAATTCCTGGGGGTTTTCAACTTTTATATCATTATTGCTCTTTACTCTATTTAAATTAGTCTCGTCTTCATGTTCTGTTATTTTCTTATTTCTATCTTTTTCTTCTTCTGCCTTAATGTCACTCTCATCTTCAAATCCACATATTTTCTCATCTTCTTCTATAATATTGCAGTGTCTGGCTGTAATAACTCTGTTGTTTATTAAGACTTTATATCCAGTATCAGTATAACCAAGTAAAATACCAGCTTCGGCTTTCTTGTCCCATTTAGACCTTCTCCGTTCTTCAGGAATTCTAACAAAAACTTTACTTCCATACATTTTTAAATTTTGGACAGATGGCTTCTTTTTGAAAAATATTTCGTACGGCGTTTTTCTCTCAATAGTATTAGTCAATGTTCTGTTCTTAAGATAAGCAGCTGTTTTAATTACTTCTGGCCAAAATCTTCTTTCTACCTTTGCTTCAGACAAAAGACATCTACTCATATCCATTAGTGTGCGATTGTATCTTTCTGCGGTTCCATTTAATTGATGAACATATGCTGGACAGGGTTTTATTATTATACCTTTCTCCTTTGCAAACTGAAAGACTCTTCCATTTATATATTCCTTCCCATTGTCACATCGCAATTCTTTTATCATTTTTCCTGTCAAGTTGTGTATTTCATTAACATATTGCACCAAGTAGTCATATACTTCATCCTTTGATCTGATGCAATAAACTTTGACTAATTTGCTGTAATCATCAATAAAACTCAAAAAATATTTTTCTGCATTATAACCTGTAGTCTGATGTGGCCCATTTAAATCTGTGTGAACAATATCCAATATCCCTTCTGCTTTTCGTCGATTATTATGAAATGGCAAATTATGCATTTTATTTTCAATACATATTGCACATTTTAAATATTCATATTCAATCTCTTTAGGTAATCCTTCTAATGATTCATTCTTGCACATAAATTCCAAATTTTTAAAATTAATATGTCCCATAGTACGGTGTAGTTTTTCCTTTACAGTCATATCATTTTTACTCATATTTGCTTCCAATATTTCTTCATACATGTAACTTTTCATTTTATACAGCCTTTCATCCTTAATTGCTATTGCCAAAAGCTTTCCATACTTATTGTAGATTTTTGATAATCTCCCACTTGAACTGATTGAGTGTTTGTCAGTAATTTTTGAATAACTCAATAAATTTGCCTTCATCTCTTTTACATAAAAAAACATTTGTCAGAGTCACTTCAGATTTTTGTCCATAGACTAAGAAATAAGTTGTAATATCACCAATTTTTGTAGCTTCTAATAATGTTCCATCACCAATTTTAACTTTAACAGGGTTTTTTAAGGTCTCACAGGAATTGAAGTACTCATCAGTATTAATAATATGGTCTGTGCATCCACTATCTAATAACCAATTTATCTGACCTTTCTTTGACTTATCATTCTCCCTCATTGTACAAGTATTATTTGCAACGGTAGTATGAAAACTGTTACCAGGACTTCCTTGATTATGCTGATATTTTCCTGAGCTTTGTCCTTTGTTATTGTATGAACCACGTCCACGATAATTTGAAAAACCACGTCCTCTGTTATAGGAAAAATTATGTCCTCGACCACGGTTTACATATTCGGCTTTACAGTCTCTTCTCAGGTGGCCAGGTTTTCCACATCTAAAACAATTATACGATGGCTTGGCATCTACTTTGAAGGCATTTGATGTATCATTTGACGTTTCTCTCACATTTTCTGTATTTTTTAATTTTAGTTTACTTTTCAAATAGTCTACTGTTCTTTCACCCTCTGGTAAGACATCGATTAAATCACCTATGTAGTTGTAACTCACTGGTAGTGCTTTCAACATATAATTTAATTTTTCAGTTTCTGATACAGTAGCACCTGCATGTTTTAGCTCATTGACAGCTTTCTCAAAATCATCGAAAAACAGAGACACTTCGGAGTAATTTTTTAATTTCACACTTTCGAGGTTATGTCGACACACTATTTGCAACGCTGTCGATTTCTTCAAATACATCTCGTCGAATTTCTGTAATATTTCATATGCTGTATCAAGTTCACTTATATATTCCAACTGCTTGTTGGTTATTGCGCTGTATATGTAGTTTGTTGCTTGGACATCTCTGTCGTCCCACTCATCTTGGTCGGTTGCATTTTTCGCTCTCATTACAACATCCTTGCACCGTTTGAACTGCAGAAACTTGAGAATACGGATTTTCCAATTACTATAATCAGTGCCGTCGAATATTGGAATATTAATATCACTATTTTTAGTCGCCATTTTATTTTTCTTTGTTCTCGTTCGTTTTATAATTTCGTCACATTACATTCAATTTTTTTTATTTACCAACTTTTAAACCACGGTCTGCTACCATGTTAGTTTTATATTAAACCAATAATAATAATGCCTTTCAAAACACTATAACTTTATTTTAATACC